GAACGAAAAAAAAAAAACCTCAACATGTATACCCTGCTTAAGTGAGGGGAAAACTCTCTCTCATAGCCCAGAGAGCATTGAAATTTGTTGGGAATGGCAACACAGTACACCAATTTCTGAACTTGGAGTTCATCAGTAAGGTATATGGATTCCAGTCAAAGCCAGAAGATACAACGTTGTTCTACGATGTCATATCCCTTTTCACTTGTAAACGAACTGCTGAGTCTTTTGAGATTTTTGGCAGTCGAACAGCGCTCAAGCCAGAACATGTTCCATTCTGGACCTTTGTCTTAACATCACCTATTTCAATTCAAGTACAGGATAATTTATACAGAAAGAAGCATGGCTGTATTGTGGGAGCTAACTTGTACATGGAAGAAGATGGAGAAGAGAGCCTTGAAATCTTTCAGGGGAATAACACCAAGCCATTGGTTCAGATATCTGAATAATATGTACGCCAAGATTAGAACATCAGAAATACAAGATTTAGTGAACACATAAAGTGGACAAATACATAATGTTTACACAGGAAGAGACACAGAATAACAAATGACTCTTTTGGGACTTTGTGTTATATGTCATGGAGAGAGTGGCTTGGACATTGAGGTCTACAGGAAGCCTACCCACACAGACCAGAATTTGATTCCCACTGGAACACAAGCTTGGGGTTAATAGGACTCTGCAAAAGGGAGCTAAGATGGTAACAACAAACAGAGAGTCTAAAGACAAGGAACACAAGCATCTTTGGAGTGCTTTGAAAGTTTGTGGCTGCTCAAACTGGGCCCTCATTAAAATATTCACAAGGTCAAACAAAAACATGGGACCACCAAAAGAGGGAAGACGTAGTAAAAACATGGTGTATTATAGTCATCCTATAGGTAGCTGGAGTTTCAGAAAAACTCAGGGGAATCTTTACCAAATCGCTGTGTCCTTCAAGCCCAACAAAACAATTAAGCTGGCCATAGATGGATCAACATTCTGCCGGTTTAGCAGGGACTGGCTGAAATTTTAACCATCTATGGGCAGGCTGGCTGTACGGAAGTTGATCTCGTAAACAACTTCAGTACAACCAGCCTGTTGAAAGATTTTCACTTGATCAGTGCTGCCAGCTATAGTGCTGATGAGTATATTCTGACAGCAGGGAAGCCTCCCCACGGTCAAAATACAATTTGTATTGTATCCCTCTGTAGGAGGGATTCCCCCATCTACATTGAGTGTGTGGATGGGGGCATCAATTCATTTTCTTCCCATCAACCCTCTGGCTGATGGAAAAAAAAGTAATCATGTATGTCCTGCCTTTGACAAAAGGTAATACATCCTAAAGAACCAAACACAAGTACAGTAAGTGGGTATATGCAGTGCAGTGTAGTGAGGAATGCAAAGATCTGTACATTGAAGAGATAGAACAAGCTCTACATAAATAAACGGCCCAACATTGGAGGGTAAAATTCTACAGACCAAAATACAGCAGTCTTCCAATGCTTTTGAGGACAGTGAGGTGCACATTTTGGACAGAGGACAACTGGTTTGCAAGAGGTGTGAAATAAGCCATCTATGTCAAAATGGAACAACCATCTCTGAACAGAGGTAAGGGGCCTTCAACACTATCTGTATTCCACATACAATGCTGTTTTAACATCTCTATCTCTAATTTGACAACATTTCACACCTTTAGCCATGCATATCAAAGAACTAACACCTACAAAGCCTTCTTGACACTAACAATGGGGTTATGTAACTAGAACAAGGTGATTCCACAAATTTCACACCTCCCATCCTGTTCTTGGACAACAAACATCTACACATTCCATAGTGATTGGATTAAGGCATTCTAAGAAGTGGATATACAGTATGTGCCTGGGTATTTTCTTGATGCTCATTGGATGAAGCGGCTTGGATAAGCTATGAAAAGTCTTTAACATTACAGAACAAGTTTAGTTGAACGCAACTAACTACTACTAGCTATAAACATTTAAAGTATACAGTATGTAAACCCTAACAATGTACTTCTCTTATTTGCTTTTGGTCTGCTAAATATACTGTACCAGTGGAAGCATTTTGTTTTATTTGTTGATAGGTACAAAATAAACCTGTTGATCATGTCAGAAATTTAAAGTTGTCCTGTGTCCACAGCTCATTTCCTGTGCTATATCAGACAACCTTCCTTGTGCTTATCTTGGAGTATAGAATGATTAGCATTTATGTTGTAGTAATCTGAGAGTAGGAGTGTTTAAAGTGAAGCACCACCCAAAAGGGGAATTTCCGCTTTAAGCCTTTGTCCCCCGCTCCCCATTAAGGATTGGAACCTTTGGGGAGCGGGTACCCAAATTTGACAGGTACCCACTCCCACTTCCGCTGCGATCGCCTAGGCGATTGGAAGCGGACGTTGTCCTCCCTCACCCCTTTCTCCCTGTAGTCTTCTGTGACAGGTCCCAGAAGACTACGGGGCCATTTACAAAGCTCAGCACATGCGCAGTGGGCACCCGGCTGAGAAGCCGCAAGCTGTCACAGCCCAGTGCCCACACTGAAGATGACAGCACCGGGGAGAGAAGACAGCCGGTGAAACCAGTCGTGGTGAGGACCAGGGGCGGACTGACCATTTTGTAACTCGGGCATTGCCCGAGGGCCGGGGGTCAGTAGGGGGCCCCATGAGATGCCCCTGGTACCTTTTTCATAGGCTTTTTTTAGTTTGGGCAAGGACACAGGGGCCCCATGATCTCCTATTGCCCGGGGGCCCCATTAGTTATCAGTCCGCCCCTGGTGAGGACACCGCTGGACCGAAGGACAGGTAAGTGTCTGTATTTTAAAAGTCAGCAGCTACAGTTTTTTTTTCAGCTGGGACTCCGCTTTAAGTAGTTTAGCAAAAGACTCTCAGTCCACAAAAATTCTGTGTTGTCAGAACAGGGCTTAAGAGCTGTGTGCATTTTTGACAGATCAACAGGTATTTTTCTGTACTTTTAAGGTCTTTAGGTAGATCAAACATGGAAAATATATTGCCAATATATGCTACATATGTTGTTTTTTATTTTGCCTCAACATATGTTTTATAATATAGTGCATCAATGGTGGATGCTGGATTTTGCCAAGTATTATCATTACTTTAAAAATAGAGCACAGAAGCTGTTTAATTTCAGACTGTTTCTCTCTGATTGAAACTCTAGGGCAGCCTTTCACAACCTTTTCAGTTCAGAGGAACCCTTGAAATAACTTTCCGTTCTCAAGGAGCCCCTGCTAAAAATTACTACTTTCTACAACTCATGATACATTAGTGTGATGATCGGTGGAAAGAATTACCCTCTTACAGGTAGCTAGAAAGATCAGTGGTGGAAGTGGGAACTTAGAGGTGGAAATTACTCTTTGTTCAAGGAACCCCTAGCAACCTCTGGAGGAACCCTGGTTGAGAAACCTTGCTCTACAGCAGCCTTTCTCAACCTTTTCAATGCAGAGGAACCCTTGACATAACTTTCTGGTCTCAGGGAACCCCTGCTAAAATGACGTTATCTACAATTCATGATATATTAGTGTGATGGTCAGTGGGAAGAATGCTCCTTACACTAGTGGTTATTGGGAAGAATTACCCCCTTACAGATTGCTAAAAAGATCAATGGTGTCAGTGGGAACTTACCTGAAAGGCAAAAATTGCTCATTGCTCAGGAAGCTGCTGGCAACCTCTGGAGGAACCCTAGGGTTCTACGGAACCCTGGTTGAGAAACCCTGCTCTAGTACCCACTAGCAAGGGGAATACTGCTTTGATTCATAAGCTATGCAACTCTGTAACCATTTTTCTTTTCTTTGTTTTCTTTTAGTAAAGCAGCTAAGGCCAGCCTCACAATCCCATAAAAGAAACCTGCTGGATAGAAAAGAACATTCCAATTCATATGCAATATTTCTCTCTACAATAGACACAGTGCACAACCAACTGTAGTTCATGCTTATTTATTTAAAATATTTTATTATACAAATAATTTATGTACACAGTATTTGTAATTCAGGTATGTACACAGACTGTGGAGAAAGTACAGTAATGCAGAGGAAGCACCATCCCGTCTGTGTCCCTGTGGTCCTGTAGGTGATTCCATGCATTGGCATTAGGTGAGGACTAGGGGTGCAGTGCACCGGCACTGACCTCTGAGATCCCGAGTTTATTGCAGAGGGAGAGCTAAAGCACACGACGCCCAGCTTCAGGCATGAGGTAAACATTGTGACAGATGAGTGTGTGTACACATGCGCACACAATGCACAGGGCTACCAACCCTGCAGCTTTGATCTTTGCACACTAGGTGGGGAGGTTTTATGGGACCTGCATTCTACTCCTGTATAGACACCTTATTCTAATTTGAAGTGATTGCATATACAGCACCTTTCATAGGTGCTAATGCTGTGTACAGTACATGGATTTGTATTGTCAATCCTGATTGTGTTTCCAAATCCACAAAGGTGCAGGGATTGTCCGAAATGGAAGCAGTGTCAACAAATGTGGGTGTAGTTTGAGTGGATCAGAGTCTTCCTAAATAGGGGCATATAATTTATTTTTTAATTTTGAAAGGCAAGAAAGTATGCTTGGTGAAATAAGAAAAAGAAACTAAGAGGGAACTCCAGACAAAACCCAACAACCAGTAAAATGCATATGCTGTGTCAATAATGATATACTATCCAAGACTTGATAGGAACCCAACCTTTGGTAACAGTTATCAGCAAACAGCTGCTCCAAAAGCTTTCACTGACACCAACTCCCCTGTACTTTGTCCTTGTGCACAATGTAATGTAGGACTTTGGGTAAAGCATACAGAACAATGGAAAGTACGGCTCTGGTCCTGATGTGTAACTTTGACAGTCAGCTTTCTAATAATGTTTTTTTTTTGTTCTGCTCTGTAGTATTAATGGATAACTGATAACTGAAGACTTGTCCATAGGAACATTGTCACTGTGCCTCCATGTTGGCATCTTTTTGGTCACTTTCCCAGGGCCTGGCTATGGTGGACGGTGTTATCTTTATGAAACTACAGGAGGTCGTATGCTCCAGCAGTGGCCGGGGTGGGTGCAGTTCTTGCAGCAGTGCTGTAGTAATAGGGAGAACCTGGAAAGTGTCAAAGTGGAAAAATCTGTAATTTAGTGCATTATTTCATTTTTCAGCCAGTATGAAGACTACATCACAAAACGTCCAAAGCACATAAATATGGGTCAGTCATAGCTATTGAATTGGATATTGCTAGACACAACCTGGCAGAGTTATATTTTTAAAGGCTAAGTTCACCTTTAAGAAAATAAATAAATAAATGCACATATTTTTGCATGAAAAAAAGGGCATTTATTATTTTTTTCCACCTACAAAGCACTGCACCCATGATCAGTGAATGACGGGTGCAATGTCAGGCTCCTACAAAAACCTCCAGCTTTCTGCCTGTACCTCTGTATGGGCTTTCAGTTATAATGCTGGAGGAAACTTTCTCCTTCTTGATTTTCCCACATCCCTTCTCTCCCTCCCCCTCCCCTTTTTTTTTACATTTTATGTCCATGGCTGCCTTGATTGATTCAAGCAGTTATGTTTTCTGATAGATGATTACTGATGTTTATTGGCAATGTGCCTTCACACTTACCATTACCTGCCAACCACAGCATTGTGTTGCCTTGTTTTTTTTCTACTGATCAACACTGATGGTGCCACGGCCTCTGTGGGCTTCTATAGTGGTTTCCAACAGTTTGATCTGTCTCATGGGGAACCAGGTAGGCCTGTGGCATCATTGGGACCGGAGGGGTTGGCCTGGTCACTTAATATGTTCTTCTTTATGTTACTTCACTTTGACTATATCTAAGTTGCTGATTTTTTATGTTATTTGGTATAGCCCTTATTTTGTGACCAGAGCTTTGACGCTTGCTGCATTTACTTAGCCATCATCAGGTTCCCCTCTGGAAGAGTTAAGGGCTTGTGCCCGACTATGTTTCTGTGATTTTTGTATGTTCCAATGTAACTACGTGAACAGATGCTGTTTAAATATCTATGCACTTGTTATGCTTTGTTCTTTCTCTTTGAAAAGAAAATTCTAATAAAAACGATTGAAACAGAAAGCTGGAGGAAGTGTCAATGGACTATGAGTACCCTGATCAGCGCACTTGTAGTCCATTGAGAAATGACAAACAATAAAGATAAGCACCTATCTGGGTGCAGCATAACACACTAAAAGGTATTTATTAAAACAATTGGCAACTCACATTTAAAAGGTAAAAAAAGAGATTTTTTTTATATATTTTTTTTTTTTTATATATTTTTTTTATATATTTTTTTATTTTTATTTGCTCACTTGTGTAATTTTGTTTGTAGATTTTGCGCTTTTTTGTTGTTGTTAATCATTGGTGTTTTTTCACTGTTGCACAGCTGCATAATCACTTAGGATTTGTTTTTTGGCGCTGGGATATATATTTTTGATAAAAAAGGGATTGTCACATAAACCGCCGCTGGTTTCAGGGTGACGTAGAGTCCAGTGGGATCAAGTGTTCAGTCCAAACAAGGAACTGCTGCTCTCCGATATGTTCCCAGAAGCCGGGGATCTCCTGGAGTCATGGGATGCTGGGCTCCAGTGGCTGGACATGATGTCGGCGCTTGGAGGAAAGAGGGGGAGAGGCATTTCAGAGCTACCTAGCGCCTTTCTCAATGCCTCAGGCTTTGTGTGACAAGCACTTTTTAACCCTTTAAATGTGAGTTGCCAATTGTTTTAATAAATACCTTTTAGTGTGTTATGCTGCACCCAGAATGGTGCACTTCTTTGCTGTTTGTCATTTCTCAATGGACTACAAGTGCGCTGATCAGGGCACTCACATCTCTTAGGAACTGCCTTCCAAGTGCTGCCTATGCCCTTATGTACTGTTGCTGCTGAGACTAATTGTGCTCTGCCTCTGTGACCTCTCTGACTACCCACCTATGAGCCATCTATATGTTGTTTATGCTAGTCTATTGAGAAATACAAGCCATCTGCCGTAGTTGTCTCCGTGAATGAATGACGTGGCTGTTCAGGCAGGCAATTTTAAATGTGATGGTGGCTGTTGGGAAGAGGTGGGGCTCAAGGGGTAGTGATGTGGGGAGGAGGGGGGTTGCTGGAACATGTTACATCCTAAATAGAGGTGTAACATGTTCTAAAGGTGATCTTATTCTTTAATCCCAACTGAACTGTAGAGAAGGACATTTGCTGTGGAAAAGCAGTGATCTCTCTGCAGTAGTCCGAACCTCTCCCTTTCTCAGTGAGCCAGAGCTAGACCCCCAATAATCAGCAGGTCACACTGGATTTGCTAAATAAAAAACTATAGGTCTAACTCTGCAGAGAGATCACTGCTTCCACAGAGAGCAAGGCTCCTTCTCAACAGTATGCTGGTAGGGGACAGGCTTCACTACTCACGCTGTGGCTGTTTTCTAAAGAAAACAAAGAGTAAGACTTATTTGAAATTCTTTTTACCGAATAACTAGATTTGATAAACAGTTAAGCAAATATCATGTGACATATCATTTGCAACTACCACCATTTTATTTTACATGGTCTCTGCTTTCAAAACATACATATTGTATGTATGTACGTATACATATTGTATTGTATACATTTACAATACATACAAGTGTGCTTTCATGTACAACATTTTTGTATGTTTGTGCAAAGTGAAAAAATAGCTCTGGCAGCAGAAAGTATAGGAACCAGAAATGGTCTTTGAGTTATACAAGGAACCTGGTGGCATACGTTGCACCGTGGGCATGATTATTTTTGAAGGACTTCAGTGGTGAGATCTTGCCAGTTCTGTACATTTAAATGCTGGGTACTTGGCTTTCTTTGACATGTTTCTACACCTGGCGCATTCTCCGCAATATGAAATAGAATATGAATACAGCAGGGAAACTAGGATTTTCCCTTATTGAAAGGTGTAGAACCAAGGAACGCAAATACAGAAGTCTTGCCACTGAAGTCCCCAAGAGATTTGAAGCTTCTAGGTGGTAAAATGTTCCAGACACCATCTAGCACAAACTCTGCAGTGTACTGACTGTCTATTAATCAGTGTATACTACACAATTACGGTGCTTTCTGTGCTGTCAGAGCCAAGTCTACTAAAATATGCCATTTTATAAATGTCAGTTCTGTGGCCCTGTAACAAAAACTAGACACTTTTCCTGTTGGAGGGATAGAACCAACAGTGATAAAACAAGCCTTTAATATGGCATACAGTATAATCTTCATGGGTTTCAGAAATAAAATCTGTTGGTAAAGTAGTCTGGTATTGATTAGTATTAGCAGGCTTGCTTTTTTTAAATTATTTTTATTTCATGATAGTGAGACCTCCAATCTCTGTCTAATTGGGAAATTTGGATGAAGAAATTAATGGGTGGATATACATTGCTGTACCTGTATAGCATCTGGTCAGTCTAGCCAACGTATACCTGGATAGTAGGTACAGTCAGTGCCGGGAAGTGAAGAAAGCTGGTAGAAAGAGCATTGTGCTTGAAAAATAATGTCACTACTTCTTTTTTTAATAAATGTGCTACAAAACCTATTATTTCCAATGTACTTACTTAGCAGGCTGGAACCAGGGAACCGCCAGCTGTCTCCGTATGCGGCGTAAGCCCCGTGGCTATATGCATTACCAGAGTAATCACTTCCTGCTGGGAAAACAAGAGCTGTCAGGTCACACAGAACAGCGAAACATCTTACCTTAACAGTGCAACCAGGCAATGCGGCTGATATTTCATAGGACAACCTGCCCACCCATCTGCAGACTACAGAGTCAGGACCTAAGTAAAGCAGACTCCTGAAAACGGCTAATAGGAACTATTTTTAATATGCAGGAACCTACCTGACGGTTGGAGCAAGGCTTAAAGCATATGTAAGCCTAATAAAAAAAATAAAATGCAAAGCCTAATAAAAAAAAATATAATGCACTTCCAGCTTACCAGTCCATTGTGGCTGCATTAGTTTTTGTTTTCAGGATTATTTATCCTATATTTTCATACGGAAATCCTGCCAATAACACACTTTCTGTTGTACGGCGACTACACTCACTCACTGTACTATATAAATGTAGGAGCCAGGGGAGGACTAACAACTCATGGGGCCCCCAGGCAATAGGGGATCATGGGACCCTTGTGTCCTTGACCACACTCAAAGCACACCCAAAAAAGCCTATAAAAGGTACCAGGGGCATTTCATGGGGCCCCTACTGACCCTGGGCCCTCGGGCAGTGCCCGAGTGCTCTAACGGTCAGTCTGCCCCTGGTAGGAGCACTGTTGTCACCCTAGACTGTATCCGATTTGGACTCCAGAACACCTCTCCTTCTCCTCATCTTCATAACATAAGTTCTGTAGTCCATATATATATACTGGGCTGGGCTGCTTACACTGCTTTGGATTTCAGTGCAGCAGAGGCAGCAATGTCAGGTCCCTAGGAGAAGTTACAACCTCACTGGATTTCTGGCAGGACCAACAGGTGTTACTAAACATATCTAACAAGATGTTTTTGATAACATATTTAGCAGAAAAACGAAGGAATGTCATTGTTATGATTTTCTATATATAAAAAAACACATTTTCAACAAAAAACACATTTTCTATAGTAAAAACTCAGCAAGTCTTCGATCACATCAAATCCGACTTTGAAACTGTGTGACTTCATTTGAATTTGCACGATTTCAAAGTCGGATGTCAATGGGACTTCATGCACAGATGTCTATGCAAGTCGCACATAAACTTGCAAAAAGTAGTGCATGAACTATTTTCCTTCCATTGAGGACAATAGGGTTTGACTTGTCATGTGATTTGAAATGATCACACCACAAGACTATGTGCACTGGTGTGACCAGTGGTGTATTTAGGTTTTGTGCTGCCCTAGGCAACACAAAAATCGGACCCCCCCCCCCACGGAGAGAGCCTGACACTAACCAACACCACCCCCCCACCCAAGAAAGCCTTCCACTACCACCACCCTCCATACACCAGCCCCCCCAACCCCCACCCCCCAGTGAGAGAGAGAAAGACACTCACCTTCACAGCTCCAGACATCCCCTGGCATGAGAGTCAGGCTCTGCATACACCGTCAAGGATCCCACAGCATCTCTTGGATCCCACCCAATCCCCATGCTGCGTGTGTCCCTTCTTCTGACTCTTCTTCCAGGGGGCAGTGCTGCCCCCCTGAAAAATGCTGCCCCAGGCAAATGCCTTGTTTGCCTTGTGGTAAACATACCCGTGGGTGTGACAGTGAACTAAAGACCACCATATTTGTTTATACAATAGGATAGCAACAGAATATATCTCCTTGCTGGTATTCTCAGCTCCACCCCTGCCATGGCCGTAATAAGTCAGTCCACCCAAACCTGATATTTTTGTTTTTTTGGTAAATGCTACAGACTTACACCACAAGCTTGGTTTCCCAAATCTCTCAGGCCTTCCTATGGTAAGCTATCTGTACTAGAATCCCCAGGTCTTCATATCTGACATAGCTATTACTAGAAAGCTCTTCTACTACTCTACCTGTTTGGGTTTCTCGTGTATTTGACATTGTATGTATTTAACATGCAAAAGGAGGATTGGGAGTGCCCTAAAGTGGATGGGGCCACCCAGGACCACGTTTCCACTACTGACAAAAAACATTTGCTTTCCAATGCAACACTCTGCATAGACCACTTCTTCTTCAAGGAACATTTTTTTTTTTTCACACTGATCCTAACTTGTATTAGATTATGTGTAAATAAGCTTATATGAAATGAGAGAATGTCTACTAATGATGGGAAAAATTATACAATTAATCCTATCAACACCCAAAACTGTAAAATGTGTAGCAGCAAAGTCAAAAACTACCATAGGAACATCTGCTTTGTCCAGTAGGTGAAGTAACCCAGTAGACTTCAAAATGTAATTGTGTGGAGAGACCATTAAGAATTACAGCTCAGATTTAGTCTGAGCAATGCTGTGCTTTTCAAATACTTCATTGGTGAATTTGTCAGGGGAAACATCATAAATAAAAGCTTGAATTTTTGTTCTGGTATGGAATTGAGAACCAAAAATCCTATGAGGACTTAAATGATGTAAAAACCACTGGTATCAACTTAAGGAGGTTTGTTAATTCAAAATAAAAGAACTTCATACTCCATATCAATCCCATAATTTACTATGGACATGGTGGGACGTGATGTGTGTTCGTACTTGACTTTCTGAAAAATGGAGTCTTCCTTACTAGGGGACTAAGCAACTCCTGGGTCACTTTTTTGTTTAGAAGAATGGGACAGCATGATTAATTAAATATAATGGGCATTCCTGCCAATGATAGCTTGAGACTCTAAGGCTTCTTTCACACTGATTTGTCAAAAACACAGCAAAAACGCATAAGCATTTTTAGCGTGGTTTGGCCGTGCTTTCTGAGTGCTTTTTAAAGGACACGTGCACCAAAAACACTTCTCAGAGGCATTTTTGAGGTGCTTTTCAGGTGTTTTTTAGGCGCTTTCCCATTGACTTCAATAAGAAGAGGTGTTTTTGGGACTTTTTTTTTTTAACTCACCAAACATGCCCCAATGATGCTGCATAGTTACATAGTTACATAGTTAGTCTGGCTGAAAAAAGACAAAAGTCCATCCAGTTCAACCATTAAAAAAAACAAAGTTATAATCCTATACCCACAGTTGATCCAGAGAAAAGCAAAAAAAAAAACCCAGCAAAGCATGATCCAATTTGCTTCTGCAGGGGAAAAAATTCCTTCCTGATCCCCTGAGAGGCAATTGGATATTCCCTGGATCAACTTTACCTATAAATGTTAGGATCCATTTATATTCTGTGTATCTAAGAAAGAATCCAGGCCTTTTTTAAAGCAATCCACTGAACTGCCCAGAAGCAACTCTTGAGAGAGTTTTTACACCGCACCACAGGCGCAACGCCTCAGTGTGAAAACATACATAGATATACATTCATATACATAGGGAAGCATTTTTCTTGAGCATTTCAGGCACTTTTTTTTATGCAAAAACGCTTCAAAAACTCCTCAGTGTGAAAGTAGCCTAAAGGTGAAACATCTATACTTTCAAATAATTCTGCCCAACACCAAATTGACATTGTTCATGAGCCAGACAAATACATAAACAGTATAACATATAGTAGAACCCACATTAATGTAGATTATTACAATATACGACCCTTACTAAATCTTTGTACAAAAGAGTGGTAGATTAAAACGGTTAAATAAAATATTCATTATTTTTCCCAAAGCATCTTGCACACTAAGGAAATTAGCCTAACATGCCTACGTGAAGGATAAATGGGCATGCAGATTACTGGGAGCTGAGAACAGTTCTGTCTCATATACACACAGAGTTAAACTATAACTGCTTCTCTTTATTTATCTTGACCAATCTCATTTCACGCTCCAGGAGAGGAAGGAGTGTGTGCGTGCGGGTGTGTGTGGCTGGGGAGGGGGCATAAGTACTTTATATTTTTAACGCTGCATTAAGCGCATCTCCGTGGTAACACAGTAACACGCTGGCTCAGCAGGTTCCGGAGCTGTGAGCTGTGTGGGTGGGGGGAATTGGCATTCTGCATTTCTCTTTCATTTAAATATACCTGTAGAGGTCACCTGGGGTCAGCCATATTCTCAATGGTTCTTTATCATTTTATAGATATGCACTAGATGACATCTGATAACTAGATACCCCCGTGAGCAAAAAAAAAAAACCCCTGGCTAAATGTGGTGGCATCTAATACCAGTAAAGGAATTCGGTATCAGCGAGACAAAACAAAAATATAAAATTATTAAACATCATTTTTGCTAAGTGATGTGTCCATGTACAGGCATATTAGTATCACCTGAGCATCCATGTGAACCAGTCATTGTAAAGGAAGTGTGCAGATGTCTCCAGTGCCAGTTTTATCTTGAGAAAAAACAATAGGGACTGGCTGGAGAAAATCTAACCCAGTTGAATTGTTCCCTGGGGCACATTTGCCAGGAGTGCCTGCTGGTATTCCTTGATAGAGCAATTATTTCCTAGTCTGGCTGAAACTGGCTGATTTGAGTAGATATCATCATCATATATCTTTGGATACATATACACATACACATGGTTGTATATTAGGAAAAATATCTAACTGCACATAATCCCCTCACCTCAGCATTCTCATGAGCATGCACATTTAAGAAAACAGTAGATACCATCAGAGACAATATTAGGGCTCAGTCTTTGCACATCAACTTTTATTTGCATTGGAACCACTTTTTCTCTTCATACAAGTCAAGGGGAATGCTAATGCAGCTTGATACAGCATAGAGGGAGGACAGCTGAAGGCCAAAAAGTGGTTATCTGTAGGTCAGAAGAAAATGAACTGCAGACAAGAAGGAAGTCAACTGCAGACCAAGAGGAGGTCAACACAGGCCAGAAGCTGGTCAACGCAGGCCAGAAGGAGGTCAGCACAGGCCAGAAAGAGGTCAACGCAGGCCAGAAGAAGGTCAGCACAGACCAAAAGGAGGTCAACACAAGCCAGAAGGTGGTCAACACAGGCCAGAAGGAGGTCAGCACAGGCCAGAAGGAGGTCAACCCAGGCCAGAAGCACCTATGAAGGAACTCTGATGGAACTCAGAAATATCTAAAACCAATCTCAAAAGCAAACTGAATCCACCTGAAAGCAAGCTGCCCATCTACACAAGCCCTAGCTGTTCCTCTAGTAGGAAAGAACTATTGACAGCTGCTGAAGTCATGGGTCCCCAAAACTGCAAGTATGGCGCAACAACCACCAATGGTTCTTTCACTGTAGATCACTTGTATATACAGTGTGAACAGACTGCTGCAAAGGTCTAACAATATTACTTCTCACCATACTGAACAGAGTTATCTGGTCCACATTACTAACAGTCTTTCAGCTGTCAAAGCAATTTCAGGTACAAAAAAATCCTGTATGACTAGGAAACATGACCCCTGTTCAGTAGTAGTTTTCAATTGTCAGCAATTGGAACATTTACAAGACTGTGGATTGTTTTCTGTTTGGGGGGGGGGGAATTATTTTCTATATAGCCTATTTGGCACAGACATTACATTCTCCATATTGGAAAGCATTAGTTAGATTGGGAAGAAGTGAAACCAGAAGTAGCTGTAAGAATGGTATCCATAACATACCTGCAACCATTCCAGCAATGGCAGATGAAGCATAGTTTCCTTGACCACTGGGTATGTGCGGTGGATACCCTGGCAGAGTTGACCCCACAACATCACGCCCTGTAAAAAAGTGAATAGGCAATATTGATGTTCCTTGTAGCAGCCCAGCGTAACATTAGAAGACATAGAGGTTGATTTATTAAAAATGAAAAGTGCAAAATCTGGTGCAACTGTGCATGGTAGCCAATTAGCTTTTAACTTCGGCTAGTTCAATCAAGCTTTGACAATAAACATGGAAGCTGATTGGTCTCTCTGCATAGCTGCACCAGATTTTGCACTCTCCAATTTTAGTAAATCATCCCCAAAGTATACCTGTCATGAAAAGAATCTTGGGGTTTCCATTGTTTGTGGTTTTCTATAAATGTTAGTTGACTGGCTGTGTCTAGCTTTATTATTTCTGAGTCATAGACCAAAAGAAAACATACAGCAAATGAGCTCCAAAGAAAAGTCAGAAATTCTATCTTTACTTGATCTAGGTTGGTTTCCCACTCTATTGAAGCCAAAGGATCTTTATGACAACCAGGGAACTAGCAATTTCAGTAGGAGAGGTCAGCAATGGAAGGCAAATTGGATCATTATTTATTTGGGTTTTTTTTGCCTTCCCCTGGACAACTGTGGGGGTATAAGATTGAGCTGGATGGACTTTTTTCAACCAGACATTTTATGTGACTATGTATGGAGAATCTGAACAGAATAGGTTGTCGATTCCACAATGAGCAAGGGCAAAACTTATAAACCTGGAAATCACAGATACTTGGCACTGTGAGATAGAAAACAAACTGCTGTTGTGAACTATCCATATACCAGTACCATGTGGTTGGCTGCAGTGCGTTTTCAAAGAGTAGTACTTGACCGTACTTTTTCCACGGTCAACTGCATTATGTAGCCCATTCAAATGAATAGGCTGTCAAAATGCAATGAAGGGAAATGACTTGGAATTGCACAGGAATTTCCAGTGTTACCGGCCCTTGTGGGCCCTGGGCATCACCAAACCTCTACACACTACTGCCTGCAATGCATGTCTGGAGAATGCCACATTTACTGCCTTAGTGCTGGTGAACTGCATCCAAGCCATATGACATGTGAATTAACATTGCTTCCTATGGTGCCATGTTCACGTATGTCAGGTGCACTGGCAGTGCAGAGTCAGTGCAGGCTGAAAAAGAGAACTGTCCGATTTCTGAGCAGTGCACTCCAGTGTACGGATTACAGGCTATTGACTTCTATGGGAACCGTTTCTAAACTGCACATGTGTGAACAGGACAAAATCCTGACCTGAACCAGATGTAAACCTGACCTGAACTGCTGAACAACTACTGTGTCAATTAGCTGTGAAATCTGAGCTTCAATCCGCACCGCATGTGTGAATCAGCTCTAAGTCTAAATTTAAATTAATTTTTAATCCATTGATCATTTCCACCTGCTACATTGATTCTTCCTTGGCACACACATTCTTGCATTTATTGTCCCTAAAGCTTAGAATGAACCAAAGTGAACCATTAATAGCTTTGCTAATAAATTTTTGCCAGAGAGAGACACAGTGAGCTGTACGACGTCCAAGGATATTATTGCATCTGTACAAAAGGTATTGTCCACACAACTGGCCTGGCTAAAGCTAACCATACACCAGAAGAATTTAGTTTGAAAATTTTTATTTTCGGAATTTTTGTTGGATTTTCTAATGGCTAATGAGGTCAAAATGACAATCATTTTCAACCACAGTGACAAGAAAATTTGAAATAACAAGATGGAAATGTTTTTCTTGAACAAAGGAAATTCTAACTGTGAATGTGGTTTTTGTTTGGGAAAATTACACATATATTAATGCGCACCTGCTAACAAACCTGTTTAATACATCTGGGATTCCTTTCAAGTAGCAGATCTAGACAAAATCTGAAGGGCTTTCAAACTTAGTTGACTCAGTGATGGCAAGATGGAATATTCAAATTATTTTTCAAAATTCCTGTATGAACGTTCAAATAATATTCTCTACTGGTGTATGACCAGCCTAACTCCCTGGAGGAGAACACCAGTACATTTCCTTCCCCTCGTGTACTGTATGTTGCTGCGGGAGTGCTGAGTGTATTTGCTTTGATACTCCAGCATAGGACATGGCTTCACAGAGAGAGGGGAGAGGACTTTGCTGTATCATGGATTTGGCACATTCTTATAGTAGTAGCCCTATTCCGTTCAACCACTACCTTATCTAGTTTTTTAAGAAATAAATATGTTTTTGTATTTTATTTGGGAAGGCAAAATAGTGAGGATCGTAATTTTTTTTTTTGTATGTACAATATACAATAGATTAAAAATGACCAATTTACTGTATTAAATTGTTTGATTCTTTGCTTGCTTATATTACAATACTTATATTACTTATATTATTCTGATTTTAGGAGAAAATATTATATTGGTTTGTCTTTGGCTTTTGTCTTCAAGCAAATGTTAACAAAGCAAAATCAACATAATATTTCAGAAACACCATTAAGGCATAGAGTAAAAAAAAACAACTAGGTTTTCAACATCAGTTTTTTATTTATTTTTCCTCTGAGATTCGAGTTGCTTTAGTATTTTTATCATGACTGGTTAAAATTAGAATTGTGAATATAAGGTTTTTCTTAGAAGGCATGAATGACTTTCCAATTCACATTAGTGTTTAAATATAGTTTTTCTTGTTTGCAGTTTTTTAGATGTGCAGGAATATTAGAAATCTATTTTTAAGTGAAAAATTTTTGCTTTTTTTTTTTTTTAAAATATGCATTGACAAAGGGAAAATCGGATGAACTACATCAAAGTGTATTTTCTAGATTACAAGATTTGCCTGGAAATGCACATACCAATACTGAACCGATTCAGCTAACCCTACTACGTTGTATGACTGAGCAGGATAAATAATTTACAAGACTTTTCAGACTCAATCATTTTAAAATCAGTGCTACTGCTCTGCCTGTTTTACTGGTGAAAATATTTATTCCCACCCCATTTTGTTTTGTCATTTGTTTTTTATTTATGGCACTTATATAGCGCTGTCAATTTACAGACCTCTTTACATGTTTATTCACATTAGTCCCTGCCCTCAAGGAACATACAATTTAAGGTCCCTAACTCACATTCATACATACACATACAAGGACTAATTTAGACAGGAGCCAATTAACCTACCAGCATGTCCTTGGAGTGTAGGAGAAAACCAGAGTACCCGGAGGAAACCCAAACAGGCACAGGGAGAACATGCAAAATTCAAGCAGGTAGTGTTGTGGTTGGGATTTGAACCAATTATCCTAGTGCTGCTAGGCAGAAGTACTAACCACTTAGCCACTGTGCTACATCAACCTAAACCTTTTCCCCTCTTCCCCTCGGTTTGCTGTTTATGACCTCCTACCACATTCCTGCTTTCAAATTTAATTTAGAGTATGACAACCTGGTAAGATATAAAGATTAAAACATTTTCACCAACTAGTTTAAAAAACTATTTTATTAGTTTTGAGAAGATGCCAAGGAGTTATTAAAGTGTTACTAAACCCATAACAGTAAAATCACTCTGTATATGCAGTAAAGCATGCTTGTATACTCTCTGTGGAACCTAAGGGGTTAATCTTCCACATTGTGTAAAAGAGCTGTTTGATCCTGTCTTTTCTGATCCTCCCCTTCTTCTACTGTCCCCAATGCATCTGCTAATAGTACAGAGTTCTAGGAGTCACTCTGCGCATGCTCAGTTTAGTGTGACTTGCTATGGAGTTTTTTTTTTATCTTTGGGAGGGTTCATGTGATCAGCACAGGGCCAATCAGCACTGTCCAGACAGAGGGTCAGGAGAAAACTCCTCCTGCAAGCTTTAACCAGTACTCAGCTGGACACTGATAGAAGTCACAAAATTGCTATATACTGATGATGAGAAAAGGTATTTAGCAGTTTATATTTACTAAAATAATTGCATTTCCATGTTCTGTGTACTGTGGGAGACCAGATATAGGACATAAGACAAGTGTTTTGTGGTGTTGGCATGACAGCTGGAGTTCTGTTTTATGAATTGAATGTTTCATATCCAAGGACCACTAAGCCTGTCATTAATGTAACAGGGATACATGATACTGTTGATGGCTACATGCCCATAGACCCATAGATGATTGATGAGAGTTGTGTGAGAGGGCTCAGTCTATAGCCAGGAGACAATCGTACTTCTAAATTATAGACTGCCGCCCAACATTCTATTGTCCAATTACTGTTCTGTTGAGCTCGAGTTTAGCACTGTGTATAGGTTGCTTATTGGAGATTTCCTTAAAGTGGAAGAAAAGTCCAACTATATCTATTCTTAAAAATGTTCTCTCTCTCCTCTTCCTACCTACCTTGCCTAATCTGTACAAAAAGGATCTGCATAGTTACCTAAGAAATGTACTTTTTTTGTCCAGTCGTGTGATCCCGCAGTTCCTGGTCTCCTGTCTCAGTGAGCTGCTGCTGCAGGGAATAGTAGGGAGCTTTGACAACAGCTGGGCTATGGGAGCCTATGAGTGAAGTCACGGCTCCCAGAGAGCTGCAGGATTATGTGACTGGACTGGAGCTGATTAAAAATAGGTAAGTACACAGAACCTTTTTAATACTTTTTCACACTAGTGTTTTTTTAAGCTAGAAAAAGACTGTTAGGCGCGTTTTAGCAGCGTTTAGGAGTGTTTGGCTTTTTTTTCTGCCGGAAAAATGCAGCTAGAAATTATACAAAAACAAATTTTTTTTCTGATCCTAAAAGCTGAAGCTTGAAAAATGCTACTAGCCTAAAATAGTGTGCCTGGACACATAGGATAACACTATTAGCTTCTAGGAGCAGAAAAAAAATGTTGATTACAGCTTTTAGGAGCTTAAAAAAATGCTAGTGTGCATGGAGCCTTACTGTATTACAAAAGAACTGTCAGACATATTTCAGGTAATATTATGCAGGATATGTGAATACTGTAGCATCTATCAATCATCCATACCTGTAACTGCCTGACCGGTGAACTGTCCATACACAGAAGCTGCAGGAGAAAACGCACTGAAGGGTGTGGCTGCAGCTGCTGAACCAATTGACTGCAAATCCAAAAAAGCGGGACTATATATTGATGGAGGGGTGGAGCCTGCACTGGAACTGTCAGATGGCTCTTGTTTAATGGAAAATGATGACAGCTCTGCAATGATGAAATGAGATGGAGATGGAAACTTAAAATAACAAAGCTAAATAAGTATGAGGTATTGTAATTTGTTTGGTTAATGGAGCCGTGTGTAAAATATCTAATCCCACTGTGAACTTAATGACATTGTATTTCCCAATGACTTATAATGGTTCTGCAAAATTAATTTTTTTGTGCTAAATTTATAAAAATCCAAATAGGAGAAAAAATAATATTTTTTAATAATTTTTATTTTGTCTGTTTTGCTATGCAAATCTGTCTACATTTAAAATATATGTGCTGACGGATGAAGATTTTCTGGCAGTTTGATGGCTATAGGCATTCAATAATATGGAACCAATCAAATGTCATCTCTCTTTTTTTCTTGTCATGGTGTAACAATTATAGAAAGTGAAGCAGAATTCCTCCAGAATGAGAGGACAAGAGGACTTTATTATGAACATGACAAGCTCCTGCCTTGGCCGGAGCACTTACCTGAGAGAGTGGAGTACCCCTGGTGCGTGGACAGGTTCCTGCTGAGTGTGGCATTAGAAGAGGCCAGTGCTGATTTCCCATCATCCATTGCATTGTTGAGCAGGGGTAGAGGATAGAGAGCCTTTAAATGTGAAGATAGTTAGTTAACCTCCAGTGAAGAGTTCATAAGATGACAGCAATGACATAATCTTTGGCTGCACTCACTTGCTCGGCCTTGCTGTGACTAGCTGAGGGGTAGGAGTCAGGAAAGTGTTGTCTCTGGAAGGGGCACTCCAACCCATCTAAAGGGTGCTGAATGTAGCCTTCTGCCCGCAGATGTTTCCGGCTCAGTCCACCACTACCCTGAGAGTCAATGCTAAGCCTGCAGCTGTCCTGATCACCTGAAAGCAACAAACAGAATAGGGGTCATTTTATTCATTTATTGTCTTACCAATAGCTATTTGAAAATTAGTAGAAGTGTAGAATTAGGGTGATACCATTTATTGGCTAACTAGATTGTAGTGCAAGCAATAGAAGTACCCAGGCCTTCTTCTGCTTTTGTTGATGGCTAACATGTTACAACATTCTACTATTGTATCTGAAAATTAGAAAAGGGATTTTTATGTCTAGAAATGGAGGCACAAATAAAAATTCATCTTGTGGAACAGTCCAAAAACTAGTGGCTATTGGCTCATCATTAAAACTAGAAAGAGGATGATTTTTGAAAGTTGAGCTATTATCCATTCCATCCAATCAGGGTCCTTGTTTTCCAGTGATTAAAAGCTGAAACTTGATTGGCTCTGAGCTGTATCAAGCAATCTTGCTTTTGCATTCACTTTGACTAAAGCCCTTTTCTTGGTTTCAGATTTTCGAAATCCATCCATCAGCATGTTTCAAGTAGCTTCTCCTTTTTTCCTAACTTTTTTTTGGGTATTAGTGCTGAATTATGAAAGCTGGAGCAAAGTAGAACTTCTGGCCATAGCAGCATGTTAGGACTCGCCTCTCATTCTTAGCAAGGATTTCAGTAGGATTTTCTTCTGTTTTTATTAATCATCCTTAGTGTTTATGTAGCACTACCCCCTTAGGGGGTCACTGAGTTTTGGGTTACCCCAAAGCTCTGCACAGCCAGGCAACACGCATTTTCTTCCACACATTGTATTCAGAGTCAGTAAACAGTCCTTGAGCTTAATTTTGTGATTTTATTAAGGGTTTAATAACTTGGATAGTGTTGAGGGGTGTATGGAATACCCAAGGGAACTGCAAGGACAAACTCCTTAGCAACTATGTACAAGTCTGTGGACAAAAAGTAAGAAAGTCTCTCCTTTGAAGAGCTCTCCAGCCTTTCTGGTGTGCCACCTCCTCCTCTTCATGCTGCTGCCTGAGGGGATCCCTGGGCAAGGGGACCCAGAAAACTGCCCCTTGGCAAAGCAGCCCCAAATGAAAAGCTATTTGGGTTTGCCATCTGATTGCCCTCTCCCCTTCTCCAGCTCAGGGGGTGTAGGATTACTTACTCTGTCTCTCATGTGAGCATGGGGTGGGTTGATGGCTGCCTTCAGGCCTTATGCTGGGCTGGCTCCTTTCCTGCTCCACAGGCTGTCCTCTCTCTGGGGACGATGAAGCAAAGAGATCCTCCTTTCCAGCATCTGCATGCAGGTAGGCCCCTCTCCTAATCCCCCTCCCAGGCTCCACACTCCAGCCTCTCACTCCACCTTCCATCTGACACTGACCTACTCCTCCTGCTGATCAGGCTCAATCATATTTAAGGGCTGTCCTGGCCCCATACCAAGCCTCCTGCTTGGGGATTGGCCAAGATCCCTTAAATATGCAGATCAGCCTCTCCTCACCCCCTCCACTGCCTTCTAGAAACTTCTCAAGCTTCTAGAGCAGGGGAAGTATCAGGAAACTGACCTGCAGATTCAAGGCTTATTTATTTGTTAATTTTTATACCTCCTTTGATAGCAATATACTGTATTTTATATAATACGAAAAGGCTGCCGCTACAGGGACATTACCATTAAGCCCTGTAAATCATTAACACCAATTAGAAATTAGCTTTGGACGATTTAGTACAGCTTAATAGAATCAGGAGTTTGGTTGATTGTATTGATTACTGCAGTGGTGTTTTTTACTCGGTAAATGTATAATAGAACAAGTCATACAGAATATGGAAGGAATCAGGCCTTGAACTCACTATCATCCAGTTTGTGTTTTCCATCAGAGCTTGGCTGTGTTATCCCCAACAATCCACTGATTGAGTATGTAGAACCAAGAGAGTCAGAATGGGGCGACTGCGGAGGAGTCACAGCTGAACTGGGGACTGTCAGAAAGAAGACAAATACTCATAAATCCATTTATATTTAGTAGATAATACCTCTTTTACCTAAAACATGGAACTTTCCAAACCCAGAAAAAAAAATCCCTGTGTTGGCTTTTTGGTGCTGCTTCCCTTCCATTGATCCATCCTAGATCCATCCAAAGTGCTATAGTCTTTTTATCTGATTTCAAGCTTGAGTTTGAACTCCCTGCAGTGCTAAACAGGGACAAATCCTTGTTTCCTGGTCTAGATGTATTATCAGCCAAAAACAACTACCACCCTAACCAAACAAACTGCATGCCTAGGTTCCAAGAACTATTGCAGAAAATGAGCAGGTGGTGGGTGCTTGCCAGCCACTTTACTGGTGCCTATTTAGGTTTTTGAATTGGGCTTATGTTTCACAAACTTGCAATACAAATGTGACCACTAAACTTACCCAACATCCAAGAACTGAACATTAGCATTTTATTTAATGTACTTTCTGTAGAAACGACACCTGCTTACTCTACATCTCCCGTTGTGACCTCCCCATCAGACATGATCATTGTACAGTTCTACTACAAGGTAGATTGACTTACTCAGAGTTTGTCCTGGACTTAAGGATTTCACACAGGTCTCCATAGGTAAGTTAAATAATTGCTGAACTTTGGTGCGTATTATTCTGTAAAGACAGATACAGACATTAGTTAATAGCAATGTTAATACCAAATATGTCATCATCACCTCTTCCTTCAACAGTCTTCCTGATCATTGACACTGTATCCAGAGCTGTTATTTCAATTTAAAGCAACATTATTAATGTCATATGCAGTTATAAAGCATTTGAAGGCAGCTTTTAAATGACTTTTTAGAACATTTTCTAAGCGTCTAAGTGGACAGAACTTTCAAAATTATAGGCTATATGTACTCTGTATGCAAAATATTGCCTCTATCAGCAAGTTAAAAACATATAACTGTCTGATAAGACGCTTCTATTAGACACCATAGAACTAATGGGGTTTATTTACTAAAGCTGGAGAGTCCAAAATCAGACTCCCTTCTGCATAGAAACCAATCAGCTTCTAACCTCAGCTTGTTCAATGAAGCTTTGGCAATGAAACCTGGAAGCTGATTGGTTTCTATGCAGAAGGGAGTCTGATTTTGGACTCTCCAGCTTTAGTAAATAAACCCCGATGTGTCCACACTACTACTTGTCTGGTAATGTTTTTATGAATTTCAGTGAAATACGTGTAGGTCAAAGGTAAGTAGGGCCTATTTGTACTTTATTATGGGCCAGTTGGCTCAAACTGCTGTGACTAGAAACCTTCAATTATAGAACCCACAGTTTTCGTGTTCCATAACTAATACCTGTTCACATCCCATTTTGGTCCTAGTGATTACTTATTTCATGTAATAAACAGCCCTCCTACTCCAATAAAAATGTAAAATGGGAGCTTCAATTGTGAGTGTATATTGCCAGCTTAACAGTGCTTAAAAGAGACTGTATCCAATTGAAAAAAACAAAACAAAAAATAAAGCCATCCTTACAAAGAAAGCAATTCATATTTACCTCTCACACCGACTATGCTGCTGTTATGTAGGAATTGGAAACTGAAGCCTTCTGAAGAACGTTTAGCTTTTGACACTTCCTGGAGTGTCAGATGTCAGAGTTCAGCAGTGTGGGCAGTGGGCCAGGTAACTATCAATTGTTTTCTTTGTTGGGGTGGTTTTATTTTTCTTTTTAGAAAAAAAAAAGTGCTGGAGTCACTTTAAGCTGACCATGCGTGTTACAATAGGACTGTACATTTACTTTGCCTCAGACCTCACATTACACTATTTTGATAAATCTGAAGGAAAATACATAATTTAATTGTAACGTGCATGGCCAGTTTAAAGTGCATGTATGGTCAAAACGTTTAGTTAAAATCCTTATCAGTTTATTTTTTTCTTCTGTGCCCCATTGTGTAGATTTCCTTTCACTTCCTGTCAAGGAGATGCAACAGGAAGTGAGAAAAATTATATTTTGGTGAAAACTGTGACATTTTGGACTTCCTAGCACTTTAAATAGAGGGAAAATCTAGAAAAACAGAAGATAAGTGAGCGCTTATGTGATAATATATAATAAGCAGCAGCTGTACACCCAAAAGGCACCGTATCAAACCTTCAATAGCATATATGTGAACAGGGGGGTGCAGCGCTGTATAACCAAACAAATAATAATTACACAATAGTGAACAGTGACTGTAAATTAGTAATGCCACTATATGGTGGCTCTAGGTGAAGAGAGTGAAAAACAGTCCAGTGAAGGAGTGCTCTTAAGATCCAGGGTGATCTTCAGACGTCCAATATACAGGACCATCGGGTGATAAAAATATAAAGACTGCGCACTCACCAGATACGCAATCTTTATGCGCATTTGTGTAAAATTATCACTAGACCTCCTGTATCATCATCCTGGTCTGGTCAGATCTGGTCAGCATATCCCTCATGGCCCGGTAACTGGATGGATGCAGCTGTTCCGTAGACTTGGCCGGTTCTCACCAGAATGTGTTTGGGTTGGATGAAAATGACCACCAGAATCTCCAAGAATCTCTCTCCAGAATTAATTTTGTTCCATTCATTCTTTCAGATCCATTTAGATTTTTTTTTTTTTTGCAATAACATTTTTCATTATAATAAGTAATCAGCTTATTCCATTTATCTTCATGGGTTGGACTAGCAGGGATGACTTAGAGTGCATAAGTAATCTCCTAGACTCAATTTGTAGGAGGGAATGCTGCACCTTCCAGTCCGCTACAGACACTAGGGTTCCAGAAGATCACCAGCAATGGACTTTGCCTGCATGGACTCCCACCTCACAAAGGTATGCCAGACACTTTGATCTCCAATCATGAGATGAAACGAGCAGATGGCAGACGCCATCTGCTCGTTTCATCTCATGATTGGAGATCAAAGTGTCTGGCATACCTTTGTGAGGTGGGAGTCCATGCAGGCAAAGTCCATTGCTGGTGATCTTCTGGAACCCTAGTGTCTGTAGCGGACTGGAAGGTGCAGCATTCCCTCCTACAAATTGAGTCTAGGAGATTACTTATGCACTCTAAGTCATCCCTGCTAGTCCAACCCATGAAGATAAATGGAATAAGCTGATTACTTATTATAATGAAAAATGTTATTGCAAAAAAAATCTAAATGGATCTGAAAGAATGAATGGAACAAAATTAATTCTGGAGAGAGATTCTTGGAGATTCTGGTGGTCATTTTCATCCAACCCAAACACATTCTGGTGAGAACCGGCCAAGTCTACGGAACAGCTGCATCCATCCAGTTACCGGGCCATGAGGGATATGCTGACCAGATCTGACCAGACCAGGATGATGATACAGGAGGTCTAGTGATAATTTTACACAAATGCGCATAAAGATTGCGTATCTGGTGAGTGCGCAGTCTTTATATTTTATCACCCGATGGTCCTGTATATTGGACGTCTGAAGATCACCCTGGATCTTAAGAGCACTCCTTCACTGGACTGTTTTTCACTCTCTTCACCTAGAGCCACCATTAGTGGCATTACTAATTTACAGTCACTGTTCACTATTGTGTAATTATTATTTGTTTGGTTATACAGCGCTGCACCCCCCTGTTCACATAGAGGGAAAATCTAGCCACCAGGGACACAGGCAATAAAACCATTACAAAGGTTCTAACCTACTCTATATGAAAATTAAAATAAGTTTTTGGTATATTGTGCATGCACTATAAAAAAGAGCAGAAGCAGTGATACAATGTCAGGACCTAGATCACCTGCTAGTGGCACTGTAGTTCCATAGGTGACAACTATGACATTTTGGACTTCCTAGCACTTTAAATAGAGAGGGAAAATCTAGCCACCAGGGACACAGACAGGCAATACAAACATTACAAAGGTTCTAACCTACTCTATATGAAAATTAAAATACGTTTTTGGTATATTGTGCATGCACTATAAAAAAGAGCAGAAGCAGTGATATAATGTCAGGACCTAGATCACCTGCTAGTGGCACTTTAGTTCCATAGGCAAAGGTTTGCAATTCCAGTATCCACCAGCGAGTGTCTCCCAGCAGCCAGCAGATCCCAGTAATCAGTTTCCACTGCTTGCTGGCTGGTGGGAGGGTATTTAGGTCTTCCCTTTTTAGTGCCTCTTGCTCCAGTGTTTTGCATGCTGCTGCCAGACCCTGTTGCCTTATATCCTGTTCCTGCTCCTGCCTTGTACGTTTTACCCTGTATCCTGCTGCCTTTTACCTACTCTCCTTTGTTCCTGACCCCAGTTTTTGTTCCCCCTTCCCATCTGTTTCCTGCACCTTTAGTTTACCCTGCTTTTCTGTTTTTCCCATGTTCTATATATTGTATATAGTTAGCTGTTTGTTAGGTTTATTAGTCAGGTGTTCTTTCATTTGGATTTTGGTTCACATATGCAGTCTGGTTCCAGTTTTCTGAGTGTGGCCACGCAGATCTGGCCATCCTTGCAGCTGATCCCTGACACAATAGCACTTGCATAGAGCCGTTTTTTTTTTTAAAGTAAAATAATAACAGCAAGGCATAGTATATATTAATAATAATCAATCAAATGTCCACAACATATATGCATTATATGTACATTGATATTAAATGATGATAAAAAATAGTGCGCTGCCCAATGATTCAAACAATATTAGAACAAAACAAAAAATTGGAGCTGCTGCAAACACGTATAGTGTGCGCTCATCACATTACACAATAAATACACAGTTTGTAGTGTTGCGATGCAAAAACATCCACTCTAGTGAACATTAAAGCATAAAAATAAATAAGTGCAAAAAACAAAAAAAAAATCACATGACAGTAAGGGTATAGATAATAGTCCCAAGAAAATCTCTTTAGAAATATTGCTGGGAAGCGTATTCCTACAGGTGAGTGAGCCCACTATCCCGGATCTGTAAATCTTTTAAATAGTGTGCATCACCGTGGTAACCATGATTCGTGGCGATACGTGTGGGGAGGAGCTGGGTGACGTCAGAGCTGGAACACCGCTAGTACAATCGGAGATGCTGCACATTGCCAACTGTAGCTTTGCAGCTTTTGTTTTACTGCGAGTTTTACCATTGTCAAATGTGAGTGTACTTTTAATATACTACTTGTGGATTTTAAGAAACTATGGTTGCTTTATATCATTGTGAGTTCTGCCCAGAAAGCCAGCCATGCTATTAAAGGGATGACATTGAGGATATAGTGGCTATAAAGAGAGGCGGATTATTTCCAGAGGAGAGGATATATCTTACCCCCATTAGGGGGCAGCACAGTGGCTAAATGGTTAGCACTTCTACCTGGTAGTACTAGGGTCATTGGTTCGAATCCCAACCACAGCACCACCTGCCTGGAGTTTGCATGTTCTCCCTGTGCCTGCATGGGTTTCCTCCAGGTACTCCAGTTTTCCTCCCACACTCCAAAGACATGCTGGTAGGTTAATTGGATCCTGTCTAAATTGGCCCTAGTATGTGTATATATGAATGTAAGTTAGGGACCTTAGATTGTACACACCCCTTGAGGGTTAGGGACTGATGTGAATGTACAATATATATGTAAAGCACTGAATAAAATTGACAGCACATGGGAGATGCCTGTCTGACCTGTCTTTACATATGGGTCAATATATGAAGGTGAGGGCCCACCTATCTGTCACGGTTACCATGGTGATGCACACTATTTAAAAGATTTAGAGCACCGGGATAGTGGGCTCACTCAGCAGTAGGAATACGCTTCCCACCAATATTTCTGAAGAGATTTTCTTGGGACTATTTATTTCTACCCTTATACTGTCGAGTGATTTTTTTAATGTTTTTTGCACTTATTTATGTTTATGCTATGCTTTATGTTCTAGAGTGGATGTTTTTGAGCAGTGCAACACTACACGCTGGTTTTGTATACATTGATATACCTGTTGATGGAGCTGACGCTGGGCACAGTGTCATTGTCACATACTCCCTCCGCCAGCAGCCGGTCCCTGATTTCCCAGGCAAACATGGTGGGATTTTGCCTTTTATAATCTCCGATCTTCTCCACCACTTTTGGGGTGGCAACTTTAGGCTTTGAGCCGCCAATGACTCCTGGCCGGATACTGCCTGTTTCATAGTACCTACTCCAATGCAAAATAAGGTATAATTATCCAAAACCATCAGTCTCCCCCTGCCCCCTCACTGCAATAGTTAAGGTAATCTCATTCTAACTGTAAATCAGACTTATGCATAATCACTGTAACTGTAAATATAGAAAAAAGTAAAAAGTAGAGTGTATTGAAATGAAACCATGAGTGCTAACCATATTTATTCTCCACAAGGTATAGCCAGGGCTTTTTATTATTGGGAACGTAGGGGAATGCAGTTCTGGCACCTCCAGCACCGAATATATGTAATGGGAAGGGGTGCTGGAGTGTTCTGGAGGGTCTACTAATGCTGGTTGGTGGGTGGACTATTGTTGCTGGAGGGGGTGCTATTCTTGCCTTGTGGTCGATTGTTGCTGTGAAGATCTATTGCTGTTGGTGGGGGATCATTTGTTGCTGGGAGGGTCAATTGTTGCTGGAAGGCATCTATTATTGAGGAAAGGGGGTCTACTATTGCTGGCTGCTGGGGTCTATTTTTGCTGGAAAGCATCTATTTTGTGTGGCTGTCTATTGTTGCTGGGGAGATCTATTGTTTCTTGTGGGGAATCTATTGTTGCTTGGGGTCAAATATTGCGGGAAAGGATCTACTGTTGAGGGAGGAGTCTATTGTGGCTGGCTGCTGGAGAGTCTATTGATGCTGACTGGGAAATCTGTTGTTGCATCCGGGGGTCCATTGTTGCTGGGGTTGGAATCTATTGCTGCTAAGGGGATCTATTGTTGCTGTGGTGGGTCTATTACTGCTGGATGCGGGGAAATCTATTTTACTGATTTACTTGTTATCATTAACAAATTCCATACAAATTACTTAGAACCACAAAATGATACTTGGCTCTGTATTCTCTAAAAGGGCAGTACTGGGAGGTGGGTAGGGGTTGGAACCAAGTTACGGTGCTCGGAGGTGGGTAGGGGGTGGAACCAAGTTACGGTGCTCGGAGGTGGGTAGGGGGTGGAACCAAGTTTCGGTGCTCAGAGGTGGGTAGGGGGCGGAGATAAGTAGTGACTCAGCCGGGCGGACTGACAACTCATGGGGCCCCCGGGCAATAGGGGATCATGGGGCCCCTGTGTCCTTGCCCAAACTCAAAAAAGCCTATGAAAAAGGTACCAGGGGTATTTCATGGGGCCCCTTACTGACCCCGGGCCCTCGGGCAGTGCCCGAGTTTCCAAATGGTCAGTCCGCCCCTGGACTCAGAAGGGGGGGGGGGGTTACTGCACCTGTTCTCAGAGAAAAAAAAGCCCTGGGTAAAGAAGACCAACTTCCAATTGAAGACCAACTATTTAATTTTTAGTTTTGGATGGATTGGAGAGGATCAGAGCCTCTAATCGTTTTTGTATTGCTATTCATTCATTAATAAATATGTTTTTAGCAAAGTCATTTCTATTACGGAAGTTTGTATGACAGACTGTTCTAGTTCATTGCTTCAAACATTGTCCAAGTATCTGGTAACAAGGGCATACAGTGACTATGTGGGATGTGTATGTGTGTGGGAGACTCTTTGTTTGTCTTATCTAGTAAACGGGATACTGAAAAAACATCCGATGCCCTGGCGGCAGTATAATTAGCGATGTACAACTGTCTGATTTCTTAGGCAGCAAATCATTCCTTATTTATTAATGTGCCTCATATAAGAATAACATTGCCTCAATATAACATTTTGCTTGAGGTGATTGGAGCTGTATTAGTGCATTTGCGACAGAAACAATTGAGTACTGTCCGTGATACTTTTTTTATTTGCACTAACATACAATTTTAAAGACAAAATCGTCCTCAAAATTGTATGTTAGTGCAAATAAAAAAAAGTATCATGGACAGTACTCAATTGTTTCTGCCTCAATACAACCAATCAGATTCATGTGTGCAGAGGACAGTGGGAGTTGGAAGATGAAGGTTTACTGTGATGCAGCACAAATAATTCTTATTTAAGACATTTAGAAAAATGAAACCCCTTATAAGGCCTTACATATTATATCATTGTAATAAAATGTACTCGCTCAATTATTAAAGTGTTACTAAACCCAGGACCCTGCATTCACTCTATCTGGTCTCCCACAGTACACACAACATAGAAATGCAATGATTTTAGTAAATATAAACTGCTTAATACCTTTTCTCATCAGCAGTTAGAGCAGTCTTGCGACTTCTATCAGTGTTCACCAGAGCACTGGTTAAAGCGTGTAGGAGGAGTTTTCATTCTCCAGTAGGAGGATGCAGGACCCCTGACCTCTGTCTGGAGAGTACTGATTGGCCCTGTGCTGATCACATGCACTATACCAAGAAAAAGAAAACTCTCTAGCAATACACACCAAACTGAGCATGTGCATCTTGCCCTTCCCCCCCACAAGCCTCTGTTTTATCAGGAGATATTTAGGAGACACTTGAAGAAGGGGAGGATCAGAGAAGAAAGGATCAAATATCCCTGGAGGATTAACCCCTTAGGTTCCACAGTGAATATAAAAAGCATTTTTTCCTGCATATACAGACTGATTTTACTGTTGTGGGTTTAGTAACACTTTAATTATATTATTAAATTATTTTAATACATGTAATAATAAATGAATACATTCAATTTGCGTGTGGTGACATGTACATGTTTAACTGATTACATTAATTTAATACACTGAATTAAAATATTCAATGAATAATTACATTTACAAAATACATTTACTTGAAGTACAAGTCTAAGATCTCTAAAGATGATATTTTATAGATATCACCCAATGTTTCTCAGTAAGCTAATTGTCAACATAGGATTAATCTCATGCTGCTAAATAATGGACAGTAACGTTTTTAGCTAAATCCTAATCCCTGCTCTAGAAAATAGACCTTTTGGGTCACCTTGAAGTTTTGTAGCTGAACCGTAGGAAGACCTTTCTGTCAAAGAGCAAAACTTCATAGTAGAAGCTACTATTTTTGTTTTTGTTATAAAAGGGTCGGGGGCACTTTTAAATAAAAGGATTTTGATCTTTTTATAGATTATTTAAAGTATAACTAAATGGCAAACCTTTCTTTTAAATTTGGATTGAGTGGAGGGAATTTAGGATTACTGTCAGGTTTTTATTGCTGTCTCTGTTCTCAGCAGGGGCTGACCACTCAAGTACTCGGGCACTGCCCAAGGGCCCGGGCTCAGTAGGGGGCCCCATGAGATGCCCCTGGTACCTTTCAATGGCTTTTTCATAGGCTTTTTTGGATGTGGGAGAGGACACAGGGGCCCCATGATCCCCTATTGCCCAGGGGTCCCATGAGTTGTCAGTCCGCCCCTGGTTCTCAGTAAATGTTCTCTCTCTAAATGTTCTCATCACCAACGTCACCTTGAATGAAAATGAAGGTAAATCTAGAGTTTTGAATTCTTAGAGTGGAAATCTTCCAATAGGGACATTTGTTCCTGTGACAAATGTCTAAGAGGGGATTTCCTTCACATTGAAAAAACAACCTCTCACTTATTGAGTCTATAGGACAGGAAGTGAAGGGAAGTCTCCCTAATGAGATACACATGGCAAAAAAAAGAGAAAAAAAAAACTGACAGCAGTTTTTACCTTTTCCTACTCTATCCAAAATGTAATAAAAAGTTTTGGATTTAAATATGATTTAATATTCAAATGTATTTTACCGTTACTAACAATCATTTTTTTTACCTTACAAAAAGCTAATGTGTTGGACGAATGCCATCTCCTGGATTTATGCCAAATGTTTTTTTAAGGCACTAAAACAGTCCCCCCCCCCCCCCCCTCTAGTTTAATCAATGAGTAGATGCAGCACACATCCAATGAGAGGTCTATTCTTTTTCTTTCCATAGTTGGCGATTTTTTTCTCTCTCATTATTGTAACCCTCTGCAGAGTCTGATACACTTCCAGTCATCACAAGTGATGCCCACATCATCACAGTGCTTACTGAGCCATGCATGGGGACTGAACACACGAAGATGCAAATCTTCTAAATAAATATGACCGTGTGTGGTCTATAAAATTTTGTTTAAAGCAGAGCTCAGGGCTCCAACCAAAAATGTAAAAGTCAACAGCTACAACTACTGTAGCTGCTGACTTTTAATATAAAGACACTTACCTGTCCTTGGGGTCCAGCGATGTCCTCACCCAAGCCGATTCTTATCAGCTTCGGGGTGCTGGTGCCAGCATTTTCAGTAAGAGAAACCAGAAGTGAAGCCTTCACAGCTGGATACCTACTGTGCATATGCAAAGCGCGCTGCTCTTTGTGAATGGGCCATAGTCTTATGGGACCTTTGAAGTGTCCCAGAAGGCTGTGGGGGTTAGGAGGTGGGAGTAGGTACTTGTCAAAACCAGGTACCTACTCCCCTCCAAAAAGTGCTAAATGTGGCAGTGGAGGAGGGGAGGAGGAAGACAAGTGGAATGTCTCCTTTAGGGTGGAGTTCTGCTTTAAGCTATTACAAAGAAAACAAAACTCAAATCATCTCTGTATTGGTTGAATCCAAAGAACAGAGGTCTACCGCTCAGGCAAACAATCCAGGTCAATCCACAACAGGTGCAGGCTCTGGCTCGCCACCACACGTGATGCAGCAGGAAGAAGGGTCAGCCGCACAGTGGAGGATTGATGAATATAGTGTACATTTATTGATCCATAGGACACACAAAAACACCATGACATGAATACAGGACCTGTTAATGCGTTGGACATAATCCCATGCTTAATCATCATGATTAAGCATGAGATCATGTGAAACGCGTTAACAGGTCCTATATTCATGTCCTGGTGTTTTGTGTGTCCTATGGATCAATAAATGTACACTATATTCATCAATCCTCCAGTGTGTGGCTGGACCTTCTTCCTGTTGCATCTCTGTATTGGTAGTGTGGTGTGGACTCTTCTAGCAGTACTGAATATAACTAATATAGACAATGTCAACATAAAAAGTTTAAAGTATCATAGTGGGAACACTCTCCTGTACAAAGGGAGGTTAGGTGAACACTCTTCTTTCAATAAGATGACTTACTCCCTGGCTGCTTACCTGCCAAGAATCTTACTGACACATCCATGACTGACCCTCAGCTGCCGAGAGATGTCACATGGACGCACGCCTTGGTGCGCCAAATCCACAATGCGCTGCCTCACCACTTCTGGGAGGGGACGCCCATTCACAAATGCTCCTCCTAGTTGATTTAGGCCACCATGACCTGGATGAAGAAAACCACTGGTGATATTAGTCTGAAGCACATATTAAGATCATTCTTTGCACATAGTAAGGGATAACATGCTGTTTCCTATTCAGTAATAATTAGAAATTCTGCCTAGGCACTGTTAAGACACTATATGATAACGTGTGTACTAGACATTAAAGGGATGGTGGAATACTTTCAAGCTACAGGTGTGCTTTAATTAGTCTCCCTCAGCAAAACTAGAGCATGTAATTTGGTGTATGTTGCGCAATAAAATGAGTAAACAAATATATATGGAGAGGTAGGGAAAGGAAGGAAATAAGAAGGTATGGGCAATTGAAACCTGAATAAAATAAGATATCCCTGAACATCATAATGGGTAACAGAAGCCATGAAAGACCTTCATGGTAAAAATTGATGATCCTGGAACCCACAGCGCCCAAGCATGTGACTAAGTGCCTACACATTTTGTCACATGATCTTTGGCCAATCTGAGCTTTAAAACCTAATTTCAATAATGGTCATGTGACTAAATTCCTAGAAATGTAATCATATGACCAGCTGGCATGGGATCCAAGATATGCAGTTTATAGATATGTCTTTGTATCTGTTTCCTTTTTGGCTGTCCAGTCACTGGGTGGGGGAATTATTATAGCTCCACCTAAAGGGGTACATGAGCTTCTGTTGACAAGAAATCGGAGAAAGCTCAGGAAACCTTATGACAGTATTGGCTTCCTCACTCCTGAAATCTATCCAGTCCCAAAAGATACAAATGTCCAAACTGTATAATTATACTCCATTTTAAGTATATGCCAATAAGCACCTTTCCATAAATTATAGATGATAACAAAGGCTCCCTACAATTTACAGTGTGCATGGATGGAAGCTGATGTCTACGGTACTGTACAGAACATCTAAAGAGTCATCTACATGTGTGCCACCTACATGTGTGCCACCAGTGCCATAGGTGGGTGACCCCTGTAGCACAGACATAGCATTAAGAGATGTAACTGCTGACCTATATGCAGTGAGCTGGCAAGTCCTGGGCGGCCTCCCTCTGTGATGAGCTCTGTGGACAAACGAAGTGTTTAGATACAATAAAACTCAACTTAATAAAGTTACTGTGGGGTATTGGGAGACTCTGATGTCTCAATACAATTCTTAGGTTATGTATACACAAATATCCAAAAGAAGTCCATTTTCCTGTTACACTCTCCACAGTCCCCCATGCTCAGTCTAGAACAGTGTTTCTTAACTCCAATTCTTACTTATCCCCAATGAGTCGAATTTTCAGGATATTCTTCAGATGAAACAGCCTGCCAATTCCTGAGTCAACAACATTAAATTGGTCATCAGTACATGATGAAAGGATACTTGAAATCATGACCTGTTGGGAGTACTTGAAGTTGATCAACACTGCTCTTAAAGATTAATATTCAGTCTGTTGGCTCAGTTTGAATGCATGCTTAGTAAAGCATACGCTTTGTATTGCACTGTGTGAAATTAAACTGAAAATCTATATTTTTTTATGCTTTGAGTAAGAAAGGACTAGATCCTATGTCCAATTTCTGTTACTGTCCATGGTCCTGATGAGATTTGCCCTTTCTTCCTGTCCTGGTGACATCCTTGTTACTGACTCAGGAATGGAGGTGAATGCCATCCAATGGGGACACAAAACAGCAGTAAAAACCCGACATCTATGACTTTTAATTGACAGAGCTACACAAAAATAGAAAAAACATTTTCCTAAACTTCCACTATGCAGTCAATAGTCTGCTGTGGATGTCCCCTCCAGTGGGGTGCTGGAGTGTAGAGAAACGTAGTAAAGGCGTTGGATGTGTACCTGCTTCCATGGCCTGTGTATTCATGGCCTTAGGGTTTACTTTTGTACCCACTATCACATATCTGACTCCTAAGTCCTTCCTTTCATATATATAAAGAACTTAGAGGTAAAATATGCCATAGTATAACATTACTATTACTTTGTCAACTGTAACAGAATTATTTTGAATTTTGACACTCTTAATACCAGTTCATCCACCACATTACTACCCCATGCAGAACAGTCAATGTCTTCCTGAAGTACATAAAAAGTACAGGAAAGGTCTTTTAAAGGTAACAGTTAGTGAAGACATAATGGTATTATCTGCCCCAATGTAACATCCTCTTCTGACACCCAAACAAAAGTGTCTGTACAATGGGGCCAATCCTTTCTTGCCATTGTAAGATAAGATCACAACATTATATAGCAGTGTACTTTACTCCATGAATTGCTTTACTTTTTAAATTCATATTGTTATTGGTGGGCAATCAGAATGGATAGTGGTTGGTTTTGGTGCCTTTTCTTCCAATCGCCATTGCAGAGAGCAGCTTGTCATCTGCATGCAGGCTCCATGGAGTCAGAGCTCTTGGTACTATTACTGGAAGATCATTTTATCAATAGAAACTATTAATATCACAATTTTCTTCTTTTTATACAATTCTGTCACAAAATTCATATGTAAGACTTAACATATTGTAATAGCCAAATAAATGTTGGGAGGGTCCTACCTGCAAATGTTCACAATTACAAAGATATAAAAATGATGACAGTGAAAACTAATAACAATAAAACGCAGCCCCACAAATCTTGCCAGTTAGAGATGTGCGACGGGGATGTCTTATTATTTGCACAGATAATAGTTAAAGCCTTGCTTAGGATTTTCATGATACAGCTCCAGATGTTATACACAAACTAATGGTGTGAATGGTACATAAAATAGACTGGTTCAAACATTTCATTAGTAAGTGGATCATGGCAAGCTTCCATTGTATAAGACCATGAGGAAAAAGTCTAACGTATGGCCCTGAAGGTCAGCTCACTTTTCCCCCTCTGAGAGGACTACATCACTGATTTTTGTTTAGCTTTGTTTTGTTTTTTTGTTTGTTTTGAATCAACAATATGAGTGCAGTGTTAGGCTGGCCATACATTATACAATTTTCTTATTCAATTTCCTTTAGATTTACCTTCAACTATGTAGTGAAAGGGCCTGTTTGACTGCATACAAATTGAAAATGTTTAGGTTTGACCTCATATGATATGGTTTTTGTAAATCTAAAGGAAAATTGTGCAAGAAAATTGTATAATGTATGGTCAGCCTTGGCTACCTGAGCCCATAGACATTGGATGCACTCACCAGATACAGTTTTTCATTTAGCATACTTTTGTTCTTGGTTCCAGGAGTCTGGCTCTGGGCTTCTGGCACTGAAATAAGTCCTCAAATCTACAGATTCTCTAACAGTAGTGAATAAAGTAACTTTTATATTATAGCACCCCATAATACTCACCTTCCCCTATATCAGTGGTCGGCAAGCCGCGGCTCGCGAGCCACATGCGGCTCTTTACAAACTTTAATGCGGCTCTTCTGTGTGCCGGGCGCCCACTCCCCTCCCTCTTCTCGGGCGGCCACCCCAAAAGTCAGGACTCTGCAGCTAGCCCAGCAATGGGCAAACTACGGCCCGGCGGACCTTTTAATCCGGCCCACGGAGCATGGCAAACATTGGCTGTCAGGATGTAGGCGGGGCAGCCAGGATGTAGGCGGGGCAGCGTGACAAACTCCTCTCCTCTCACAGTCCGTCCTGAAGACCGGAACGGCACGGGAACACGGCGAGAGGAACGCGCGGAGCAAAGGTAAGTGAATTGACACAATATGGGGAATGAATTACTATAGGGGGGATGAATTACTATAGGGGGGATGAATTACTATAGGGGGGATGAATTACTATATGGGGGATGAATTACTATGGGGGATGAATTACTATATGGGGGATTAATTACTATGGGGGATGAATTACTATATGGGGGATGAATTACTATGGGGGATGAATTACTATATGGGGGATGTATTACTATATGGGGGATGAATTATTATGGGGGATGAATTACTATATGGGGATGAATTACTATGGGGGATGAATTACTATGGGGGATGAATTACTATATGGGGGATGTATTTTCAGTTTTAAAAATGTGGCTCTCAAAATAAATTTCAATCGTGGTTTTGGCGAGATTTGGCTCAGTTGAAAAAAAAGGTTGCCCACCACTGCCCTGTATGAACGCATTTAACCATCCCCTGAAATGAGCCCATGACATTTAACTAGCCAAACACTAAGCACCTAAATCTTAATCTACATCTTTACAATCAACCCACCCACTCTAACCCTAAGGCTCGGTTCACACTGCTGTGACTTGGGATCTGACTTATGAGACCCCCAATTTGCATGACATGTAAAATCCCATGTTAGTCAATGAGAGCTGTCTTAATTACACTACTGCAGTCGTTTCAACTTTAGAAAAGGTTCCTGTACTGCTTCAAGGCAACTTCTATCCGACTTGTGCCCATAGACTTGTCTCCAAGTTGAAACCTCATCTATATTGATGTGATTTGGATCTGACATTACATTCTCATTGGCCACAGGCAAAGTCCCATGGCATGAAAGTAGCTTCAAAGTCGCATCAAAGTAGTACTCAAGTCACATCAAGCCATCAGCAAATCACCAGGAACTTGCCTGGCAAAGTCGCACCAAAAGTCACACAACTTTCAGATCACAGTAGTGTGAACCAAGCCTAATACGAGACCCCTAAAATACTGAATCCCTAAGTCTAGCAACCCAACCACTAAATTAAACCCAACACTAATTAACCCCTGCATAAACAGTCTTCAGCCAAAACTGGGATTCTCTGCAATGACATCATGCAGGTCTAATGCTAAAATCACTGAGAATACAGACATCCTAATTCACTGCCAGTGCTAGGTAGGACTCATTATGTGAAATGGTGATCAGATATGTTGTAAACACCATGGACTTCTATTGCTTTTCTATTCACTGAATCCTTTAGGATGCATGCCCACCATGTACACTGGTGTCACAAAACGAAGGCTGATGCAAGTGAACAGGTAAATCACCTGGATGTGTTTCAAGAATGATCACAACAACAGGTAACATCAGGACACCAAAGCCAAATGAAAAGTTGATGTTCAGGTGATATAGGTAATAAGGTCGGGTGGCAGGGCCGAGTCAATAGACAGCAGGGCTCTGGAGCAAGCTCACATAAGTGCCCCCATAGAAGTGGCTTCCTATGGGGGCACTGAACAGAGAGGAGGAGCCAGGAGAGCAGGCAGGGGACCCAAGAAGAGGAGGTTTAGGGCCACTCTGTGCAATTCCATTGCACAGAGCAAGTAAGTATGAACTTGTTTGTTATTAAAATAAAAAAAAATGTTTACAACCACTTTAAGCTGGCCAAACAGGGAATGAAATTCGGTTCAGCAGAGATTAGACAAATTTTGATCCATGTATGGGCACTGTGGCTGTACAAAAGTCGATCTACCAATTGACTTCTGTACAACCACTCTGTATGATTTTCCCCAAACAATCAGTACCACAGACTGTAGCCTGCAGCACTGATCAGTTCTCTCTGCTGTCAGAATACAACAGCTCAGGGGGAGATTCCCCCATCCAACCCAAATGTATGGATAGGGGAGTTAGGTCTTTTTTTTTTAGTTCAGCCCACTGGTTGAATGAAAAAAAATGACTGTTTGGGCTGCGCTAACTCGCGATATCTATGCTCCAAAACTATCTGGAGTATAAAAAGTTTATACATATATATTTGTAAGAATGAAAATGAAAAGTTGATGCTCAGGTGATATAGGTAATAAAGTCATAAAAAAAAACGACATCTAACAAGCTCAACCTCTCCCAATGTTCATCAAGGGAAGGCAGAACAAATCCCCCATTCTGAAACAGTTCTGATTCTACATCGTTTGTAAAGGATGGATCCTGGTATGAAGCTCACAACCTGTTCTGTACATATATCTTACAGAAGGAATAGGCATCATGGATGTTGTAGTGCAAAGTCAAAAAACCACACAGGGAAAAAAGCAGTCATATAATGGCACTCGCAGTAGTGTGACATACAAAATCACCTGTAACACTATAAAAAAAAAACAAAACATAACGACATAAGCAAGCTGCAAAGTTCAACACCCACAGCAATCAATCAAAATCATTCTCTTAGATTGTAAGCTCCAAGGAGCAGAACCCTCCTAACCCTCTTGTATTGAATTGTATTGTTGCTGTATTGTATCCCTTTGTATTGTAAAGCGCTGAGCAAACTGTTGGAGCTATATAAATCCTGTATAATAATAATAATAATTCTTTTGATGTTCTGCTTCAGAAAAGTTATATGTGATTGGTATCTGTAGACAACTTGGCTCTTGCAATGGACATGCAGTGCTCTGTAACAGTCGCCTGTCGATGATTCATCATTATTATCTTTCCAGGTCATTTGCATCCTTTGTTTTTAGAATGTTCCCCCCTAACCTTCTACCAATTCCCTGACACAGCTGATAACTGCCCAACTGGAATTGCTGAAACTGCAACCAATATGTGCCTATCTGCTGAAAAACTACAAATCACAGCATGCTGATGAGGCCCTGATAATAGCTGGCCATGCTGGGACTATAATGAGCCATCTTGACGATGGCATCCATGAAATTGCCTGCTATTTCCGACTAGCCCTGATTTCTTGGCTCCACCCTAAGGTTTCATATATATATATATATATATATATATATATATTATTTTTTTTTTTTTAATTTTAAACTCAAAAGTGAAAATCACACCCCCAATGGAAGTGGTAATTGCTCATTCCTGTTTAAGGGAATGAGAAAAGTAATTTTACTGACCTGTTCTGCTGCGTCTTCATGTGCAATGGGCTCTGCATCAGTTTTCATGATGTCAGAGGCATACCTGTTGGAGTGCAGGGGAGAAGAGTCTGCAGAGACCGGTCTTGCAGTGCAGAGGAGCTTGCAGGAGCCGAGGATCAGGGGAGTAAAACTGCTTTACTCTGTCCAATAGACAGAAACAAGCCTTTAACCTTTACAGTGCCAAACCACTGAAAGGCAGAAGTTTTACTTTTCCTGGAGCCCAGCCTTGTGTTTATTTAAAGTGTTACTAAACCCACAACAGTAAAATCAGCCTATATATGCCTATAAAGCATGCTTGTTATACTCACTGTGGAACCTAAGGGGTTAATCCTCTGCATTGTGTAACAAGGAAGTTTGTTCCTGATTGCTCTGTTGCTCTCCTTGCTTAAGCAACCACCTCTTATCTCCTGATAAGACAGACTGAACGTAGGCATTTGCTCAGTTTGGTGTGTATTGCTAGAGAGGTTATTTTTTTTTCTTGGGAGAGTGCATGTGATCAGCACAGGGCCAATCAGTACTGTCCAGAGGGTCAGGGGTTCTGCATCCTCCTAGAGCAGAATTAAAACTCCTACAAGCTTTAACCAGTGCTCTGCTGGACACTGATATAAGTCACAAGACTGCTCTAACTGCTGATGAGAAAAGGTATTTAGCCATTTATATTTACTAAAATAATTGCATTTCCATGTTCTGTGTACTGTGGGAGACCAGATAGAGTGAATGCAGGGTCCTGGGTTTAGTAACACATTAAGCTTTCTGTCAGGTTTTATATCTGTGTCCCGTTGGTGAGATTTCGATTCGGATTTTTTGGAGAGTGCATGTGATCAGCACAGGGCCAATCAGCACTATCCAGACAAAGGTCAGGGGTTTCACATCCTTCTAGAGCAGAAAGAAAACTCCTCCTACAAGCTTTAACCAGGGCTCTGCTGAAGTCACAAGACTGCTCTAACTGCTGATGAGAAAAGGTATTTAGCAGTTTATATTTACTAAAATAATTGCACTTCCATGTTGTGTGTACTGTGGGAGACCAGATATAGTGAAGGCAGGGTCCTGGGTTTACTAACATTTAAATTATGAAATTGTAATAATTGAGATTGATTAATTTTTATTATTTTATCATTTAATGATGAAATGTAAGTATTATATTTAGGTGGAATGAGAAAATACAGTGTGCTGACACTAACTTCATATTTCATGCAAAAATTGAAGTGTTTAGATTAAAGTGACCCCTTGATTTACCAAATGTATAGAAAAGTAACAATTTCAGTTAACTTCCCTTTTCGGGGTAACTAGATTCCAGCAGGATACACACGAAGATCACACAAAGGAGCGGCACAGGTAAGTATAACACTCGAGATGTTGCTGGGGGAGGGAGGTGTACTTTTTTTACAAGGTTGCTCGCCTAAATTTTGTTATTGTATTAAATATAGAAATTTGTAGATTAGCCACTAGAGGGAGCTCTTAGTGGCTCAGCAGCATAACTCTATCTCCTGAAAGAAGCTGATTGAGGAAGTATGGAGGCTGCTATTTTTCCAATGACTTTAGTATTGGTAAATATACACTTGTAAAGCGTTCTGGCTTACAGTGGTTATAAAGCCTAACCATTTTTTACCTTAATGCATTCCTTACATTAAGGTAAAAATGTTCAGGCATCAGTATCCCCCCCCCCAACCCCCTTATACTTACTCTCCCATTAATTCCAGATCTCATTGCTTTGCTTGGGCACCAGGAGCCATTGCCTCTTGCTGCTGCTGACAATCAAAGCCAATGACAAGGGCAGGATGGCGGGCCCGAGTCCTACTGTCTGTGACAATAGACACAGACAGCAGGGCTCTGGAGCAAGCTCACACAAGTGCCCCCATAGAAGTGGCTTCCTATGGGGGTATTGAACAGAGAGGAGGACCCAGGAGAGCAGGCAGGGGACCCGAGAAGAGGAGGTTTAGAGCCACTCTGTGCAATTCCATTGCACAGAGCAGGTAAGTATGAACTTGTTTGGTATTAAAATTTAAAAAAAAAATGTTTACAACCACTTTAAGCTAGCCATAATGGGAACTAAATTTGTCCGGTTCAGCAGGGATCGGACAAATTTTGATCCATGTATGGGCACTGTGGCTGTACAAAAGTCGATCTACTAATTGACTTCCGTACAACCACTCTGTTTGATTTTCCCCGCAGACTGTAGCCTGCAGCGCTGATCTGTGCTCTCCGCTGTCAGAATACAACAGCTCGGAAGGAGGAATCCCCCATCCAACCCAAATGTGTGGATAGGGGAATTGGGTCCTTTTTTTTTTAGTTCAGCCCACTGGTTGAATGAAAAAAAAAAATGACTAATGTTTGGGCTGCGCTAACTCGCTATATCTATGCTCCAAAACTATCTGGAGTATATAAAGTTTATACATATATTTGTAAGAATGAACATCTTAGACACCAACACTCCAATATTACTATTTGTTTTGAAAAGTATTCAATGGTCAGATTATTTCAGTTTATTTGAATATACTTCTATGTTTTGTTTAGTGCTTTTTTGAAAGGTGATCCGGCGATCTCTGCACAACTTTGGAGGTTTCCTGATGGTGGGGGTAAGCCATCTGGAAACAATTTTTGGGTGGCGTCTGTCTAAAACCTAATACTGTATTCTATGTAAGTTATTTGAAAGATTTTGGGTTTTTCTATTCTGTGTTCATGAGTAATTATATACATTTTGATTCTTGAATATGATGGTAGTTCGATTTCTGTTTTCTACACAGTGGTAGCATAATATAAATTTTGATTCTTGAATATGATGGTAATTCTATTTCTGTTTTCTACACAGTGGTATCATATCCCTGAGGAAGAGGCTTTTTAGAACAAAGCTCGAAACGCATTGTATACCCTATGGCTGCATAAACCTTACAGTCTGAGCAATGTGATTGTGTGCTTTTGAAAAACAGAAATTGAGAACACCGCTGTGTATAATGGATATTGATTGATATGATTTTGAAAAAAACACATTATTGTACAGTATATTGTTTTTATGATGATGTGTTATATCTCTAACTATAATTTGATATAATTTTTTCAGAAAATTTCTTAACTATTTTTAATATGAAAAATAAAAAAAGTTATATTTTAACTTATGTGTATAGTTGACTGTAAAATCACATTTTTGATGTTCAAATTGGTTTGACATATATACAATTAGGGATGATGGCAACTACACCCTTTCTCTCACTGCCTCCTTCTTCTCTTGACCATTATCATCATCAGAAAGCTATGACCAGTGGCAGACCCCATGTTTATCTCGGTACAATTGTTGCGATAAGATATCAGCCACGCAGGGAGTTCAGTGTCTCCAAAAGGTTGCCTGGCTCACTGGGGTTGATTTACTAAAGGCAAGTAGGCCGTTTACTTTACAAGGGAGTTTTCCCCAGAGCAGGGGTCTCCAGACTTTCTAGACAAAGGACCAGTTTACTTTCCTTCAGACTTTAGGGGGGACTGTGACCTTTGAGAGTAGAAAAGGTCCTGATGTCAGTGGAGAAAAAGCAATGCCCCATCTTTGGTGTCAGTGGGAGGAATTGTGCCACATCGTTGGTATCATTGAGAGGAATTGTGCCCCATGAAATGTGTCATTGGGCCACATTGTTGGTGTCATTGGAGGGAATGATGCTCCATTGTTGGTATCAGTTAATGAAATAGTGCCCCAAGGGCCAGATAAACTCAAGCAAAGGGCCGCAGTTTGGAGATCACTGCCCCAGAGCTTAGTGAGTGTGGTAAATTTTACTTTGTAAAGAATATCCAATCACGTGCAAAGAAAGCACTTTTTTGTGTGCACATGATTGAATGATGGAAGTCGGCCAAGCTTCACTTCACTCGCTAAGCTCTTGGGGAAATCCCCTTGCAAGGTGCAACTTTCCTTGCAAAGTGAACAGTCTATTTGCCTTTAGTAATTCAACCCATGACTTGCATTGTGAAGAGGAGAGGAGCACAACCATTGTTCAGCACTACAAAACAGGAAATAGAGACTGCATATATAAAGAACAAAATATGACTGCCCCCTGTATACATATATAATTACAAGACTGCATGCAGAAATACAGTTTTGAAAACAATACCATCAAGATCTTTACATGTTTATTCAAAATAATATTACAAGGACTATGCACTCTGTTTAATCTTGAGGTTCATAACTGGGGGTATCCATACCCCTTTGGGGTGTGTGAACCAGATATTCAAGGTATTGGACTGAATCTCTGAATGATTTCTAAAACTGATACAGGATTACTTTGCTTTATTGAATTTGAAATTAAAGCTGAACTCCAGGAAAAAAAAAAAATCAAAACTCCCCCTGCACTGCAAGAGTTAACTGCATGTTTTTGTCTAGGTTACCTTTAGATGCAATTGTACTTACCTTATCCCTCGCTCCAGCAGTCTTCTTTCTCTCTGCGTAAGTGGTCCCCCAAAACTGCTTCTCTTTGGTGCTCCATTGGTTGCAAGTACTCCAATGTCATCAAATACAATGCAGGACTGACGGTCCTGCATTGTAAGTGAGAATTCCAAGGCCTCGTCCATAACCCAGATGGAAGAAGAGAGTGTCGGCATATTCAAAACCACACAATCACATTGCTCTGACTGTACGGTTTATTCAGCCGTATGGTATCCGACGCGTTTCAAACTTTGTTAAAAATAGTCTCTTTCTTTAGGGATATCATACTACTCTGTAGAATACAAAAATCTATTTAAAATCATATTCAAATATCTAAATTTATATCATTACTTATAAACACAGTATAGAAAACCCCAAATTCTTGGGGATAAAGTGAGTAAAGCTGCTTTCAATAGTATCCTAGACAAAATTTAGCTTTGAACTCTTACAGTGCAGGGGGAAAAGGAGGTGTTTGGGGTAGTTTTTAATTTTCCCCAAAGTCCAGCTTAAAAATTAATTTGGTGTGTCATATCACATGCATGCAACATCATTAACAGTTGTATTGTGGGCAGCACAGTGGATAGATGGTTAGCGCTTCCACCTGGCAGTACTCGGGTTGTTGGTTCAAATCCCAGCACGGCACCTGGAGTTTGTATGTTCTCCCTGCGCCTGCATGGTCTTCCTCCAGGTACCCTGGTTTCCTCCCACACTCCAAAGACATACTGGTAGGTTAATTGGCTCCTGTCCAAATTGGCCCTAGTATGTGTATATATGAATGTAAGTTAGGGACCTTACATTGTACACTCCTTGAGGGTTAGGAATTGATGTGAATATATATGTAAAGCACTGCATAAAATAGACAGTGCAATAAGTACCTGAATTAAATAAAATAATAGTATCTTCATTCCATGTTTGGTTGCACAAAAGCAACAGCAAAAATCTCATTAGCTGTAGCTAGCTTGTGATTGGCCATTTTTTTTTATAAATATGATAAAATCTTCATGATTTTTCTTTCAGCAGTTGTTTTCCTAGCTATTGATATATAAAGAAAAATGATTGACACCTTTTATAGTCATATTGGTTTCTAATAAGACTTATGATGATGATTTTGACAATCCGGCTAAGGGAATGGGGATTTATTAGACAATGTATGGCGGCTTCTGTAATTGTAGGTTAAGAACCCCAAAACATATTACAAAAACTGTCAAAAGTTCCTAAACCCATTAGGATTTCTGAAGCACAACTTCTCACTTGAATGGATGTGCCTC